ATTTGCCTTTTCTTTTAGAATGTAACAACATCATCTGCAAACGGGGTTATCCTTTTGAATACCTTTTTTTATGTAGATGTTCCTTCCACAAGAAGCCAGTGGGGTTTGATTTGCCAAATTTGAATGGAGACTTTGCCCTGCAGAACTAACTCAGAAATCATAGTTGTATTGTGATCATGATTGCTAAACCTGGCTTAGCCCAGCACTGCCGGGTAACGGATATCCCTGAATGTGATTTCATGTTTGTGGTTCCTGTGAATCACTCCCATTGGCCTCCAGTATGCCAGCAGAAAGAGTACTGGTAGTGGTGAGGAGACCTGTTTTGTTTATATTTTAGGTGATACAGACTTATTTGTAAACAAAGTGGTCAATTTTCTGCCTTAGTTTGCCCAATAAAGGAAGGAACTTATCTCTATCTCCTTATGGCAAGGATTTACCAGCTATATCCTTTTTTTTCTTTTTCTTTTTTCCTTTTCCTTTTTCTCTCTGATTCACAGCTTACAGGAACAAGATATGCACAGTGTGTTCTTGGACTAAAGGGGTGAAGAGCATGCATTACAGTATTATATTTCATGTGAAATGAACTGTGCAAAGTGCTTTCTCTTGAAGTTTGTGGGTTATTTCAAGTGTTTGAGTTTTATGACAGCAAAGTTTCCTTTGGCATTAATAACTTAGGGGATATGTATGTGTGCATGCATACGCACACTTACACTTCTATGTACATTTACACATACATCACCTGGCTTAGCCCAGCACTGCCGGGTAACAGATATCCCTGAATGTGATAAACTCAATGGCCAGACACTGGGCGTGGGAGTCCGCTACATCAAGCGGAATGTCCCGCTCAATGCGCTCTGGCGCAGCACCGTGTGTACAGGCGTACCCTGCAGACCAAGTGGTTTGTTATGACACCGGTACATGTGACACATTAAGATAAATGAAGTGGCATTACTTTTTGGGCATTTTTTTCTTCAGTACTATAACAAAATTGTAAAAAAAACAGCATTAACAACTACTACTACCACTACATACAACAGCTGTGTCTTTTTCAAGCGATTCTTGAAGAATATTTAAAGATGCAGAAAGCCTAACTAAGAACTGTTTTCCAGGGATCTATCAAGTTGAAGAAAATATAAGTTTTGTTTTTAAGAATAATGAATAATAATCATGCAAGATATTCAAGTTTTGAATCACAAGATCTACTTATTCAAGAAAAGAGAAGATTTTCACGTTCAGAAGATTGCAAAATAAGATAATTACATGGGTGATTGTGTGTATGCATGTGTGTGTGTGTGTGGGTGCATGCATGTGTGTGTGTGTGTGGGTGCATGAGTGGGTGTGCATGTGTGTGTGCGTGCATATGTATTTAAAAGACAGTAGAGATTGGTTGAAAGTCAAGATTTTTTTTTCTCTCTTATTGTTGCTTTTATTTTCTTTTTCTTTAAGAAGGAAAAAAATAAGTAGATTGGTGTCAGATTTAGGATTCATTCATCTAGATTTGTTACTTGAAAAGCTGAACATTATTATTATTTTTTAGGCAGAAGAATTTTTCAAAAAGCCATTCTTTAAAAAGCTAACTTGCAAGAATGGTTAATAGCACTGCACTGTATTCTATAACAGGTATTATTAGTGAGTTATGTATGTAATCTAATGGGTTCCCTTTCATCAGGATTATCAAATTCAGTTTTCCTTTTTTAAAAAATGAATCTTAAATATTATTCACTTTTTCATGACAAATTGATTCAATTTTTGACATGTGATTATTTATACAAATTATTAATTATTATTATTTCTTAGAAGTGCACAATAATGATGAGTGAAATAGGTATGAACACAATGAAATGTTTGAAAATATTGTACAGTAGTAATTAGGCAATGATTATTTTAATATATTTTGATTGGTGGTGGTTATATTTTATATATTGTTTCAAAGAGTGAAAAATTTTATATTTTATTCTCTCCTTTTTTTGGTAAATGTTACCAAAAAGCCATCAAGATTGTGATTGCAACAAATAAATATTTGTGTATGAAATCAGTTGCTTAATTTTCCTTGTTTATTTTTGTGCTTTCCCAAATCCCATGCCATTGTTGTTGTGGGGGGGTTAGGAAATAGACTGAGGCTAAATGTTGGGGATCTCCCCTGCCTTGGTTTAAACTATTTTTGTCCGGTCTTTTCTTCTCCCCCTTTCCTTTTCCTTCTCTTCTCCAATGCCTTCTGTCCACTTCCTAAGATGTGACAGCCAAGTTGAAAGGATAAAAGACTGGCTTTGAGTCAGTCCTGAACAGCTTCAAGGTGCCATAGCTATGGTATTCCTGTTTAGTTATCTAGCCTTTACCCCTCATGGGGTCCTTGAGGGGTGAGCCATTTCCCTTCCCCACATACTCCAGCTTACCATGGCCAAAAAAGATTTTACATTTTTTCAGCTAGTCCAACTTTATCAGTTTCCTGACCCTTGACCCTGCAACTATTTCCTTCTCCTCAATACATCCCTCTGTCCCAACATCCTCAACAGTCTTCTTCATTTTCGACCCCCTCCTCCCACATTACTACTCTTCATCTTTATCTTCCACTTCCCTGCCACACTACCTCACTCATTTGAAACTGCTCCCTCTTCCTCCTGTCTTCGTCCCTTAACTACTACTACCTCTACAAATCCTTTGAATACACTTTATCCCCACATAATAGGACTGACTTTTTATGATTCCTCCTACAGCCCCTTACTCTGACAATACTTTCCTCTTCCAAAAATGAGTTTTCTTCCACAGTCGGTCCGATTGTGTGCACCTTGTCACAGTTATATCAGAGTCCCAAGCTCTTGCTTTATCTACCCTCACTGTCCTCATTGGCAAACCTATTCCTGCCCAATGCCACTCCTCCTGATACTTGTTCTGGATCTGTTTTATCTCTCTGGCTGATTGCCCTGTTTACAATAAGGATTGATCAGACTGAAAATGATCTGTTGGCCTGCCTCATTTACTAAGATGCAGTAACAGTAAAGTGCTACACTATTCCTCCTAGAGGCCGCCAAAAGTCCTACCCAAACCCAGGCTGGAAGCACTCTGACATGGTTATCCTCTTGCTCCCTTTTTCCTAAGATGTGTCTATGTCTCTCCTAGTGTTTCTTCCTCCTACAATTTCAGTTCCCACTTCTACCCCCTCCCTCACCCAAGTCATATTCTTTTGCTATTCTAATTCCAAACACTAGTCTCTACCTCTTCCTCTGTGCCTACCCCCTCCCCATTCTTGCTATACCCATCACATCAGACAATCTAAATGTTCCACCCCATCTTTGACTGCATCCTCTCCTACACCTACCTTTTCCTTAATTCCTCAGATGTCTATCCCCTCTTCTCCAACTTGTAAGACCTTCATATCTTAGACCTTCCCAACCAACTCTTTTTCTGAAACTATTGAAGACATTAATTTAAAAAATTCTAATCATGACTAATCCCCACCCACCCTCAATCTCCCAGTCCATCTACACTCAAAGTGCTGACATACATCTTCCTCCTTCCATGTTCTCCATAAACCTTTTCTACAGATTCAACAGAATATTATTTTCAGAACTGACAGATATCACATATTTTCCATGAGCTTATTGACTTTTTGTCACAGTGGTGGAATATTTTGAGTGAAACAGTTAAAACTTAATGTGAAAGTTGAAATTTAAAATGATCAAGTGATTTACAATGCAAGGTAAACATAAGTAACATTATCATTGATATTCCTTCACTTTCAACCAAACAGAAAAACAAATGTTCTAGTGAGATTTTGTATAAAAATGTGACACATGGAAATTGAAAATAAAATCCCTAAGGATGCTGGCTTGAAAAGTATTTTCATTGATGCATTCCCCCCACAATAAATCACTGATTCTCAAAATTTCTCATTAGTTCACTTGATACTGTTATACCAACTTGTTTTTGAACAAACTTCTTTTAAAAATGCCATATATCTGCAAAATATGTACATTTTGTGATCTTTCAATTAAACTCCACTTATTGCCACTATGGGAGAAAATGGATACTGAATTGTGGAAAACAGAAAATGGCAGCATCTGGAGCAAGGGTGCACATGAAAAAATAATCAAAATGGCTAGAAAAAAGAGAAAGTCAATGCAATGCAAGCCCCCAAAAATGCCCTTATTTCCCCAGTCATAATTCAAAATTTTAGAAATCTGTGATCACATCAGGCAAAAATATAAAGGTATGACTGAAAGCTGTATGTAAAAAATAAAAAAAACAAATAAAAATAAAATAAACATATATTCCCCTGAAAATGAAACAATAACATCATAATTCAACAAGTTTTTGAAAGGAAGGTAAATCTTACATACAGAGAGGTTTACTTGATGATAAAGCCTTTTCATGTCATATAACTGCATGTAACACAAGTACAGATTCAAGAGCTTCCCTCAGCTGCCTAAATTGATGCAACATCAAGAAAAATAGGAAAGAAACTCTAAACTCAATCTGCTCTCCTCTAAATGGCCTCTCCCACAAAAGCCAATTATCCTATTTTTGTACATTCTACATGTCTATCAAGTACATATTTGTAAAGATTGGTGCATGTCTACAAAATGTCCAGCAGGCCATTTAATCTGTATTTTTACAAAAGTCAAATGGTTTGAATGTTCAAGATAATAACACTGAATTTGATATCAGTCAGAGTTAGTGAATAAATTACTGTTATTTACCAATATATGTCAAGATAGAAGTAATGTGCTCTTGTGATGGGAAATACAAGTAAACAATATATTACAGATTTAGAAAATACTCTAAAATTTGCCTTAATGTAATAGTCCTTTCTGTAGGCACAAATTCATCAGATCTGGCATAAATGGTTTTCATTTACTCTGTCCCATTGAATCCCATTGTCTATAGTTGCGTAAACAGTTAACTAATCCACGGGAGATTTTCGTCATCATGCCTTCCTGTTCAACTCACTTTTGTCATGTTGGATTTAATTACTTGGTTACTTATTTACTTATGTAAGTGACCAAGTCCAAACTCCTTCTGCAGTACGGCTGAAGTTGGCTATAAATATCTATGACATCACTACATGCCATCTGCAGTGTGGCTGAATTGTAGGCTAGACTACAAACTCAAAATTATTAACTATACCAAAAAAAACAATGTAATTTTTTACCAGATGATAAGAATGATATTTATTTAGGAATGCTCAACAGGTAAGGTTTTTCAATCCATTAATTATTTCTTTCCTGGAATCCCCTGAGTTATATAATAATTTTTTGTAGTACACTCAAACTTGTTTACAATAGCAGCATTTCGAGAAATCATACTTTGTGATAAAGTGTGTGTGTGGGGGGGGGGGAGGGTATCATACAATTTTAAGGGTGCTTATAAACAATGAAACATTTCTATTTTCTCTCATTTCTTTTACTATGACTTTCTTGGTCACCTACAACAGGTATTAAATGGTATTGACCTAAATTTTTAAAAATCTTATTTATTAATAAATATACACAGAAAAAGATATGTGAAAGGTGTTCTCTTTGCATGTTCACTCAAGGTCTAATACTGTGGTTTGAACATTATAAATAAGAAATGCAACAGAGAGAGAGAGAGAGAGAGAGAGAGAGAGAGAGAGAGAGAGAGAGAGAGAGAGAGAGAGAGAGAGAGAGAGAGAGAGAGACAGTGATGGATGCTGAAATTTTTTTTTATACATTCTTGACATTCACAGTATCTGTGTATGTAAAATAATGCCATGCTTTCTTAGCAGCGTATGAACATCCTAAACATCCAACTGAGGAACAGGTACCTGAAAATAAAAGGAATATTTGATTGAGCAACTAGTGATAGAAAATTCTCAAGAACTAGTATTGATATTTATAAAGTTTAGTTTTGCTTCTGATTCTTTCCCTTTGAAACATAAGGCTAAAAATGAATATAATATGAAATATGGCTTAAGGATGATAAATTTTCAACAATAGGTTCTCTTCTAATGATACTAGTTTCACCTCCATAATACCCAGTTATAATACTAAATGCTGTACAAAATCTAATTTTTCTAAGTTAGTGAAATTTTTATCAGCACTGCCAAAATACAGCTACCACTAAAAATACTTTTACTTATGACCACATACTTAAAAGTTCTTACAGTCCTCGTCAACAGAGAATTCTTTCATTTCCCAACTACTTAAACTTACCCGTCTGAAGGAAGGCCCAAGAACAAAGACTGACTGCCAGACCAACCAACCTGACACAGCTACGAGACAGGATTGGCCGCCAGCCGGTGCTCCTTCAGCGTGTCTCTGAGGGAAGCCTCCTGGGCTGCAATGGCCTCCTGCTCCACCTCGCCCCAGCTAGGGTGCCAAAGCCTTGAGGAAATGCGCTCCAGGCCTAGTGCATACACCGAGTGGCATGGAAGCACACTCTTCTGGACCTGTTTGTGGGATGGGGAAATGGTTACTATTATCATCATTTATACAGGAACTTTACATTAAATATTTGGTATTACTGAAAAAGACATTTTCTGGTGTGTAAAACTGAGCATTTTTAACACCACAGACTAAATTTGCACTCTGTTAAAGGGGTGAGCTAATGCTCATATTCAGAGACACTAGGGACACCTTAAACAGAGAGCTGGAGTGATATCTTGCATCAGTCAGCCAATCACCATTGGCTGACTGGCATGAAATCTCAGTCCTGCTTACTATCTAAGGTGTCCCAAGTGTCTCTGAACATGAGCGTAAGTTTAACGGCAGCAACTGTGTGCATCTGGCCGTTTCAGCAAAAAATGAAAAGCATAGGAACCAATGTTATGGCTGAACCATATAAATGCTTTTTGATAAAAGAAACTGAAAAAAAAAAAAAAAAAAAAAAAAAAAAAAGAAGACTTCATGCCTCCTTTCAAAGGCTGTGTCTGTTCAATGATAGCAGATGACCAACTTTTCGGCATGGACATTTACCACAATGTACATAGGCTTGGTACTTCATGGCAAGACTAGAAAATACCCAGTAAACCCTAAATTGCCCAGCATAATGAATTTGTCATGCAAGTTTCCAATGGTTTTCAGTGAGACATTGTAGATTTAGTGCCCTCTGTGTCAGTTTCGATGAATTCCTCTACAGGAGGAAGTCTGAACCAACATACAACTTCTTTCAAAAGTACGATGGAAGAATGGGAATATGCAATGGTTAAAGTTTGAAGAGAGCTTCAAAAAATTCTGTGGTTTACAAATGGAAGGAAGAGGTGGAAGATCACTGTCTCACACACACAGACACACACACACACACACAGACACACACACATACACACACACACACACACACACACACACACACACACACACACACACACACACACACACACACACACACACACACACACATATATGGTCCAGCCACTTCCTGCTATTTACAGATGTCTCATCTGATCATCACAGCTAATTGCTTCCCATGGTGGCCAGATTGTCATTTGGTTCTCATACTTCTACTGAGATGCTGTTAGTCTTGACTTCTTTAGCAGCCACGTGGGAGCAATTTGTGGTCCTTGACGTGTGAGTGACCACAGCTCTCAGGGTAGTGCTACAAAGCTCTCAACAGCATGCATAAAGTTTACTTCATTGTCCTTTACTTTACATACTTATTATTTTCTTTTAACCCCTTCAGGACAGGTGATACTGATAGGTGTGAAAAAAAACCACATGAAAAGTGGCGTCCGGCTGTACGCCACGACAAGCCAAAGCGCGGCGAGCTGGTGATTTGGCCTGATGTACCGAACTCCCGCGCTCAAAGTCAGTGCGCTGCCATGGTTGGCCAGAGCGTAGTGTTTTTTTTTGTTTTCTCACCCGTCACCATTGGGTTAATGCATGTCTACACATATCAAACATCAACGTTGATCTTTTAGGAGATGAGTCCTTAATATATGAAGAATGCCTATCTATGAACTCTTGATATGATTGCTGTAAGTGCCAGTGGCTAAGGGTAAAGTTCTTGCTTCCTCACTATGGAGATGCAGAACTCTGTGCTGTTATTACAGTTTGCTTTGTCTTGAAAAATCTTAGCTGAATGGCTCTCTCATTCACTGGCTTTTCCCCTGTCCAGCTTTGTAAGTCCATTCTCTCCCTTCTGTGCTACTGTAGCTAATGACCTAATTTAGGATGATGCCTGGACCTGACTTTGAAAACAATGGTCAATTTGACTTGTTTTGCTGCAGGTTCTTTCTGTTTGGCCTGGAATTAGTAAATAAGACAATACATCCCTCCTTCCAGGACACATGGCACAGGGCTCCCTTAATCTTAACAACCTCCACCTGTAGCAATACGACACAGAATGGTACCTGCAGCATGAGTGATGGAGCTGAATGATTGATAAAATTTTAGTTTCAACCAGCCTCAGACTTTTTAAACAATTTTTTTCTAATGGAATATTCTCCATCTCTGCCTCTAATCAAGGCAGAAGATGCTGACACTTTCATTTCAGTCTCAGAGGAGGTGGGAGATACCCAGGATGGGGCAAGCCTAGAACTTTAGCCTTTAACAATTCTCTGAGCAAATATCATATCTGTACATTTGCTGTGTGGGACAACCAGGCATAAATTCTAAACAACAATATAAATTAAATGAATAAAGTGAAAAATAAATAAAAAGGGTAATAATGAATATATACTCTTACCATAATTAGATAATAATGGATGACTGCAGAAATTACAATAAATATATAACCATATGATAAAGATCAAATAAAAAACTAGAAGAAAGAATAATACAAAATAAATATAAATATAATACTGAATAAATAAATGAATAACATTTTTATAATAATATAGATGTATCTAGTATGAAAGTCAATGAACCATATTCATGTTGACAACTGTTGAAAGGGTATGAATGAGAATGAATATCTTCTCAATACAAGAACTGTATTTAAATGGCTTCATTTATATCTTCTTCAGGAACCAATTAAATGACCAATATGTATATCAACAACAACACTATAGTCAGTGTATCATAACATGACCAGAAAATCAGATAAAGGAGGAAGAAAAGAATAAGCAAAACTGACGGAAGATGGAAGAGGAGAGAAAAAAAAGGATCTTGTTGCTGATAAGAAATCTGCCTACAATATTATCACATTCTTGATAATAACTTGTGTACAACAGCTACACTATAAATCATCACACTTTAATAACTACAGCTGGCATATAATTAACTAATTCACAATAGAACACTGTTTGCAGGAAAATTGTCATAATCTGTCTATCTATCTGCCAAACAAACAAATGTCATCATAACAAAATTAACCTAAACTAAACTAGAAAAAAAAAAAAAAAATTATGGAAAAGAAGAAATAGAAGATGAAGAAAAAAGAAAGAGCAAAGGAAGAACTACGAGAAGAGGAAAAAACAAGAAGTAGAAGAAGAAACAAGAGAGAAGGAGAGAAATGAAAGGGGAAACCAACACCACAAAATACCCCCTCACCTGCAATGCCTCAAACAAGTCGAAGCAATTGATTGGAGGGAGAGGATTCTCAACTGGGAGAGCACAGGAAGCCAGGTGTGCTGCGTTCTGGTCTGCCGAGTCCACAGTCGGCCAGATGGGTCGGTCACCCAGCTCCCCCCCCTCACCCATTGGGAGGCCCAGGCTAGCGGAGATAGAAGGCGTTAAGTGTTTAGCAATCTGTAAATACATCTGCAATTTTTTTCTTTTTATGCATATTCATATAAATTTTCATCAGTCTGTGTCTGTTTCTCTACTTCTCTGTTTATCTGTGGCTGCCTCTCTTGTAAAGTATGTTTATGGGAAAAAAAAAGAAAAAAAAAAAGGAAAAAAAAAGAAAAAAAAAGTAAAAGAAAAAGAAAAAGAAAAAGAAAAAAAAAAAGAAAAGAAAAAAAAAAAAGAAAAAAAAAAAAAAAAAAAAAAAAACCAGGAACAGGAAGGGGGGGGGGGGGGGGGGAAAGAAGTAAAATCTTGATTCCCATTAACCCCTAAACCCCACCCACCTCTCATTCGTCCAGTCATTGAGCGACGCAGTGTTCCTCAGCCAGGGGTTCGGAGGCGTTGTGCCCAGGGAATGAATGAAACGCCCTTCTCTCATGCGATACCCACGACGTCTGCTCACCGTCGCCATCAGGATGTTCTTCAGACATTGCTGGGGTGGGTAGAAGATGCCTTATAATCCTTATGCTAATTCTTTAAAAATATCTTCATTTTCAATTGCAATTTGAACAAGATCCCTAATGTACTCTTAAAAAAATACTTCAGTTTTTAATCTATTACCTGAATGACCTGAGAAGTTTCAATAAAGTCTAGACCATTTATAAAAAAAAAATTCTGCATAAACAGCAATATGATCAGTTCAATGATTAGCGCTGACACAAAAAAACAATAAATCCTGAACCATTATTCAAATATCTACATATTAGCACTGTAATGTCTAGCGCTAAAATATAATAAAAGTGCTGGTGAATATCACATAATCACAGACAAAAGCAACTTGGAGAAGTGAAACAAAAGAAAAAGAAAAAGAAGAAAAAAAAAAATTAAGAAAGAACAAAAATACACTGGCAAAAAGTTGAATCTCTGTATGTTCATGAAATAATATTCTGGTATTGAAAATAGGACTAACTACTAACTAGACTTAAATGTTGCCTAATTAACTTGAAAAAATATAAGTAAAAGCACAACTATACCTTACATACCATACTTGACATAATTACATGCAATACTTGACATAATCAGTGGTGTTATCCCTTCTAATCTACAATCATGTGTCTTGGAGAACTAGTGTGACAATGCAAAAGGAATATCCTACAGTAAAAAGTGTCAAGTTCCATGTATTGATTGCTCTGATTTCACAGTGTGGTAGTTCTTCTCATCTTGCCTTCACCAAATCCTATTACACTTTATTTACATTCCTGTTACACTGTCATCTGATTAGGAAATGTGGCGCATTAGCATACAAAACAATCACTTCAATATGCTCTGATTTAAGTCACCCCCCCCCCCCCCAAAAAAAAAAAAAAAAAAAAAAAAAAAAAAAAAAAAAAAAAAAAAAAAAACAGTTGTATTTTAAGAATATGTACAGTATATGGAAGTGTGTAAAATGAATCTTAAAAAGATATCAATGGAAAACCTTTATTTTCTGCCCACATTCTCCCACTGCTGTCTACATAATGGACACTTGTTCTTAAAGGGTTAATGTTATATCAATGTTATAATATCGCATTATACAATAATAGTTAATTCCGTAGCCCTATGCGGACTAAAAGGATTTGCTATTCACAATTCAAGTTCTCTTCTAACTTTCTGGTTGAAGTTAACTTGATATTATTCATGCCAGTATTTTGGCTAAATGTAAAAATGATCCATTTAATCTCTGAACCTAATAACATAAAACTGAATGTCAGTTAAATCTGAGCACTGACAAAGCAATATCAACAGGACAATACAAAACAGCTGTGAAAATATGAGACAGTCTCCTAAAATACAACAGACTTCAAATAAAATAAACAAAATTCCCAAAACCTAAATAAAAAAAAAAAACTCACAAAACGATAAAACAACTTCCAACCAAAGCAAAGCCTCTAAGCACATACCTGAGTGGCCTCTTGCAGAATGTTGGCAACATTGTCCCCTACTTGCGTGATGCCGTGGTCCCATGCTGCCAACAACAAACGACCTTTGAGGGGCCCTGTATCCAGCAGGCACAAGGAACGGGAAAGGTAGCCAGCCCCTGAGTCTATGATGGCCTGGGGCTCACGTAGGGTGGCCGTGGGGGCTGTGTCTTGGACTGTTACTGGCTCAAAATTACCCTGGAGATTGTGAGTCATGTAATGCTTTGGATCAGTGAGGTTGGCACAGCTGGGAGAAATGTCTAAGGCTAGGTAGGAGGCAAGGGGTGAGGAGATTCCATGAATGTTCACTGATTATAATGATGATGATGTTGACAGTAACAATAATAACAGTAATGATGATAACAATAACAATAATAATAACTAATAATAACAATACATAATAATAACAATAAATAACAATAATAATAATAACAATAAATAACAATAATAATAATAACAATAAATAATAATAATAATAATAATAATAATGTTAATAATAAAAATAATAATAAGAAAAATATTATTAACAATAACAAGAGAAATGACAATAACAATTATAATAAAGATAATAATAACAGCAATAATAATAATAATAATAATAATAATAACAAAAATATTAATAACAACAACAATAACACTATTAATAATAATAAAAATAAAAATAACAATAATAATAATAATAATAGTAATAAGAAAGTAAAAGCAAAATCACTTTCATTCCAAATTCAGAGTCAGAGAGATTCAATTAATTCCTAAACTATACAACACTTATTCTGGAACTGATGCAATTACACTGCAGTTATACTGAATCTATAACAGCTGCATCACACACTTCCTCCTCAGAAACCCAAACTCTTAACATACCATAACAACTAAGAAAAAAGCTCTTACATCATGTGTTGGTCGTGAAACTTTGTTCTTTTTCTTGGGTTTAATCTTTTTGCGCTCGACAGCTGGAGCCGAGTATATGTTAAGAGATGTATTGTGGTCCCGCATGTTGGAGGTGCCTTGTCCTGTGTCCACTCTCTGTGTTTGGCAACAATGCACATTATTAGTAAAATAAATGAAATGAAAGATAGAGATATCATAGAAATAACCTTTGCAAGATTATCGCAGAGAAATTATAACAGTTGCATCAAACAATCCATTAATAATTCTAACACCCACCTGCTCTTCATGCCTATGGTATGACTCGGAACGTGAGGTAGAGGAAGATGAGCTAAAGAGTTGGCACTTTGTTAAGATGGCTAAGAGGAACTCGTTGTGCAGGTGTACAGAATCAATCGCAAGAAGTTCTCTTGCTAATGAGTCAAATTCCTCCTTCGACAGCTGTTGGTAAAAAATAACATTAGTTTCACTTTACCTCTCTGACTCTTGTTTTACCATATAAATTCATTAATGAAATCAATGACAATGACATCAGAACTTTGTGCTCAATTTTCTGAAACATTTCAAAATAAGCCATCAAAAAGGAATAAACAAAACAACAGTTCCCTCTTTCTTTTCTCTTTCAAAAAAATCTTAGCTTGTGTAGCTTAGCATTTAGATACTAAGTCTGGCATGAAAAATTAGAATACATAAGAGATAAATCATAATAAAAAAGGAAGTAAACCCTCTCGAAGTTCTTCACTTCAATTCATATTTTAAAACATGGTTTTAAAAATAAAGTATAGCTGAAAGACTGACAATTTGAAAAATGCATCTGATAAAAATGCTCCTGTTATCAATGCTTTACATACCACCATGAGCCTTGTATAACAGAAGAAAGGTATTTGGTAAATACTCAGATTTCTGAAATGGGTACTATTTAGTTTGAATGTTCTATCCTATGCCCTACATAACTATCACAAAGAATACATCCATTAGGAACAATCTTATATTTTCTTTAATTTCATTAGTGTTAGCTTTATTAATTATATATCTATCCTCTTATATAGAACTTTCATTATCAGACTTTTTATTTTCAAGCACAATTTCTACCTCTGCAAAAGTGTTTCTGCATCAGAGCACTGCACAGATGAATCGCAATTTTGCCCACAATAATATAAACATGATAATGAATTTCAATTCAGCACAGCTACTCCTTGCATGCTTTACTTTATTACTAAACTTGATATTGAATAAGTGTTTCAACAAAGAGCAATTACTTGGTTCTCTGGCCCATTCCTTGAAAGCCCTGTTTATACCTAGTTACACTGTTATCACAGTCTCTTAGTTTGGAACTGAGGAATAAAACTGCTCTGTACAAATTGGGTATACACTCCTTTTCAGACATGGATGTATTAATGGTTCCACGTCACAAAAAAAGAGAAGAATGGAAACCATTTATGTGTCTATATACACTAAGCAAACTAGGAAAAAATATATATGCATATGTATAGTGTTTGAAAATGTCCACATCTTTGCACAAATCACACAACAGTGTTTGACATTTTGCAAGCATATATTCCACTCGCACACCAACAAAAGTGACCGAAACAAACACCTCCACAATGAAACACTGCCAAACCAACGGCAAACAAAACTTACGAAAAAAAACTCCTCACCTTCATTCTAAACCACTGCTTCATGTGATGGAAATACTTCTGCTTCTTCTCCGAGCCAAGGGCCTCTACCAGCCTTTTCCTCGCTGAATTCAGGTGATCTGGAGACGTCGACATTTTCAGCTGACTGTGGTATACGTCACGAAATTACAGAAAAGGAAGACTTGCTGCGAAAAATCCTTTCGGCTCGAGAATCCAAGCGAGAGTTATGGCTTATTTGGAGAGGGAGGGTGTGTGTAAATGTTTATGCGTGAGGGTGAAGGGACCGTTCGGATAAATTGGTGGGATGGGTTTTATTATATTTGGTAATTAAAAGGCTATTCTTTTCTGTTAGCAAAGGCTATTTCTCTCTTTTATATTTTTTCTTGTATTTGGTAATTAAAAGGCTATTCTTTTCTGTTAGCAAAGGCTATTTCTCTCTTTTATATTTCTTTTCTTGTATTTGGTAATTAAAAGGCTATTCTTTTCTGTTAGCAAAGGCTATTTCTCTCTTATATTTTTTTTCTTGTTTCCTTCAATAAGACAGGGGAGAAATATATAAACGTGTTTATCTATCTACCTGTGTGAATATTAAATATTTCTTTTTACTTGTTATTTCAAAAGTGCTCCTTATTTAACCTAGGAAATGAGAATTAATATTTCTCTGTTAATCTACAGGGTCTTTGCAAGAATCTATAAATTTGTTTAGTAGTATAAGTAGTATAAGTTTACTGTTGTGATGACTGGGGATAATTCAGTTACACACACACACACACACACACACACACACACACACACACACACACACACACACACACACACACACACACACATACATACATATATATTATACATACATACATATATATTATACATACATACATACACACACACACA